CCTTTTATTTTTATTTATTTATTTATTTATTGGATTGGGTACTTTTTAAGGTTCCATTTTATCTCCTCTACTAACTTTTATTTATTTATTTATTTATTTATTTTTGGTGCCGGGAGTCAAACTCGGGTCCCTGTGCTTGCATGGCAGGCGGCAGAACCACTGAGCTAAATCCCCAGCCCACCTCTGCTAACTTCTTAACAGTGCTTTTTTGTGTTATGTTTTACCCTAAGAGTAGAAATTTGTGTCATTGGCCTATCACAATTTATTTGAGTTAACATTATAATACTGTAAGTACATTAAACATTAATAATTATACTGTTTTTTCTACCTTTGTTTTAAATGCTATAATACATTTGGGTGATGGTGAGTACTAAGAATTGAACCTGGGTTCTTGTGCATGCTGGGCAAGTGCTCTACACTGAGCTACACCCTCAGCCTCCGTATTATTACTAATGCTCTAAACAGTTTACTTTTTTTTGTTATTTTTGGTACCGGGGATCAAACTTGGGTCCTTGAATTTGGGAGGCAGGCGCCAGAACCACTGAGCTAAATCCCTAGCCGTAAATTCACTTTTAAGGAAGTTAAGAGAACAAATTAAAGCACAGTGGGCCTTGGCTGAAGTGATGGCGCATTCCTATAATCCCAGGACTCATGAAGCCAAGGCAGGAGGGTTACCTCGAGTTCAAGACTGACCTGTGCTACATGGCAAGACCCTGACTCAAAAACAAACAAACAAAAACAAAAACAAAAAAAAATAAAAAAAATAGAAAGTACATCGGTTCCTTTGTATCCATGGGTTATGTATCCACATACTCAACCAGCTGTGCTTCAAAAATTTTTGAAAAATATTGTCTCTGTTGAATATGTATAAATGTTTTTCTTGTCATTAATTTCTAACCATTATAACAACTATTTATATAGCATTTACATTGCATTATGATACATAATCCAATATGATTTAAATTTTCTTTACATCCAAGACAGTATCTGAACCTTATATGTAAATACCACATTTTTAAACAAGGGACTTGAATACCTGTAGATTTTGGGACCAGTCCCCCTATGGATAACCAGGGATGAATGTAATATTATTTACTGCTGTATTTACCTTTCCTAATATGCTATGTCTTCCTATAGATCCAGAGTCCTACCTGGTATTTTTTCCTTTCGGTACTAAAGAACTTCCTTTAATTTTTCGTGTAGTCTGAGTCTCCTGAGAAAACTCTCTTCACTTTACCTCAATTTTCAAAAGGTGTTTTTGCTGGAGTTGGTAGTGAACACCTGCAATCCCAGCTGTAATCTGGAGGCTGAGACAGAAGGATTACACACTCAAGCCCAGACTGGGCATTTCAGTGACTGTCTTAGTCACTTCCTGTTGTCTTTGGGACAAAATACTTAACATCTGCAATTTAAAGGGTGAAGGGTTTGGCTCACCTTGCAGTTCGTGGTCAGTGGTCTCCCAGGAAGAAACAGCATGGCACAGGGGGATGTCAGAAGGGAAATGGCCCTGGTCAGGCCAAGCAGAATGAAGAGAGCAGAGGAGGAACTGGGGAGCCGGATAAACCCTTCCGGGCCACGCCCCCAGTGATCTGCCTCTTCTAGCCAGACCCTCATCTTTTTTGTTTGTTTGTTTGTTTTTGTACCGGGGATCAAACTTGGGACCTTGAGCTCTTGCAAGGCGGGCACCACATTTTCACCGCTCCTTTCTTGGGGTATTGCTGCATTAAACTTTGGGGCTGTAATCCCAGCACTCAGGAGGCTGAGGCAGGAGGATCGCTGTGAGTTCGAGACCACCCTGGGCTACATAGTGAGTTCCAGGTCAGTCTCAGCTACATAGTGAGACCCTGTCTCAAAAAACAAAAACACAAAACAAAACAAACAAACAAAAATACATATATGAACTAAATGACCACACTGAAAAAAAGGAAGACTGAAGTTATATTTTGTTTACAAGAGATGCATTTCAAATATAAAGGCAGAGATGGGACCGGGGGTTTGGCTCAGTGGTTCTGACCCCTGTCTCGCAACAGCAAGGACCTGAGTTCGATCCCCGAAACCAAAAAAAAAATCCCAAAAACAAAAAAAAAAAAAAAAAAAAAAAAAAAAAAATATATATATATATATATATATTTAAAGGCACAGACAAGTTGAAAGAAAAAAGACCAAATAAGACATACCATGCAATCACTAAGCATGAGAACACCAGGGTCGCTACTGTAATAGCAAACGAAGTAGAATTCCAGACAAACAGTATTGCCAGAGATAGACATATTCATTCCATAAAGGTAAAAAGCCAAGAAAACACGAAACCCTAAACATGTCTGTGCCTAATAGCAAAGATTCAAAAACAATAAAGCAAAAATTGATCAAAGCAAAGGAAGAGATGGAGAAATCCATGTTAGAGTTGTAAAGATGGGGAGGAAAAAAAAAAGAGGACTACAGTGTCACAGGCACGAGGCAAAGACAGAGAGAAAGAAATAGATGAGAGCAATGGACAGACAGAGGGACGGAGATGGAGGTAACCCGACCCCAAGAAGAAGATGGGTCCCAGAGACACGGAGCAACTGATAGAACAGAACCACCCTGGGCCACAGAGGAGGCTTGGCGGTTCTGTTTGTATTGAGTGGAACCAGCACAGGGGTCTGGACCTGTGGGTCCCGGATGGGGTGGCTACAGGGTAGATACCATCACTTACCTGAAGCCCTGTGAGGCCTTGGGGGCCAGGCTCCCCACGTGCTCCCTTTGTGAGAGGGGAGACAGGAAAGAAGTTATTATCGGGACCTCTGATGTAGGGCCCCTAAGGTTCCCCAGAACCCCCTATCTGAGCCGTCTGGGTACTCACTCTTTCGCCCTTTTGTCCTGGGTGGCCTGGGATTCCTTTGGGTCCAGTAGGGCCTGGGGGTCCCTGAGCAACAAGATAGGGCCTTAGTCTTGTGCCGGGGTAGGATGGCCCGGGTAGGGGCTCGGTGGCAGAGGCGTTGGGGAGAGTCTCAGCTCGGTCTGGCTCTCATACACCTAATGTCCAGCGTACCATGGGCAGTGCACCCAGTACAGTGTTAGAAGTGCTGGACACCGGGTCAGATAGTCTCTACTCAATCCACAGGGGTTCCCAGCTTCGGGCCACAGCCCAGGACACAATTTCTACTTTTCTCGGCCTTAGGCAATAAATAATGCTCTTGTTACACGAATCGAATGAGAAGATGGTACGGAAAGGGCTTTGCAGATCAGGCGTTCGGTCAGTATTTGTCGAGTGAGTGAATGAAAGAATGAAGCGAGGATAAGCAGGCGGATGAATGCGCAGACAGGCTGGGAGCACTGGGAGAATGACTCACCGCGTGTCCAGGACTCCCGGGTAACCCTGTGGGGCCAGGAGGTCCAGGGGGACCTAGAATAAAATAAGAGGTCCTCAAGCCTGGAAAAGAGTGATACGGCCAGCTGCCTCCTGATAGCCACAGGACTAGTTAGTTATTCTGCAATCGACTAATTCCGTCTTTCACGCCAGGTCTGGGCTTGACTTACCCATGGGTCCTGGAGGGCCAGGGGGACCTGGGGAACCAGTGGGCCCCTGAGGCCAGCGGCTGCTGGTCTCAGTGAAGGTGTTGGACAGTAATGAGCCCCCTGCAAGAGGAAAGACAGTGAACAGAGTTGGGTAGACTGCGGCAGTGCTCACCTGCCACCTCTGCAAAGTCAGCCCCGACTGCCCTGTGGGCCACTGCCAGCACGGGCGGGGCCTCAAGGCACCGGCTCCCAGGATGGAGAGCAGCGCCAGGCTTGGACATGGAGGATCAGAAGGCAAGGAGGCCTGGGTTCTCATCCCACAGTCTAGATGGTGACATCCACAAAGCCTCTCTGAACCTCAGTGTTGCCTGGCAACTGAAATGAAAGCTGCCACTTAGTGACCATCAACAGCATTCCAGGCCTTGGTGTGTGGGTACCACGGAGCCCTGGGAGGTTGGCACCATCACTACCTCCACTGCAGACGGGGTGAGTGCTGAGGCTAGCAGAAGAACAACCAGTGAGACGGAGTGCATGTGGGATGGGACAGCGGCACAGGGAGAAGGCCAGAGATGTGCGTCAGGGCCCAGCTTGGTGCAGGAATGGGCCCTCTCTGAGTACAGGGTCACCGCTGTGGCCTTGACTGCTTGGAATTCACTTCTTGCTGCCAGGATTTGAGCTTCCTGGCACTCTGAGGGCCGAAATTTAGCCAACTCCAAGTTTGGGGCATGCTGGATACCTGGTGGTTCTGAGCAAGTATATCTGAAGCCACCCCCTACATTCTAGCTGTGTGACTGTACCAAGTGGTCGCCTCTCTGTGGCCCTCAGTGTCCCATCTGTGAACAAAGAACAACAATGTCTACTGGGTGACTGAGTGACAAGTGGTCTGCACTGGACACATCTGGCATGCAGAGGTACCCGTGAGACGGAACCAGGCACAGAGGTGATGGTTACTCGAGCCTCCCCAACCCCCACCACAATCTACCAAACACCCCACAGGAACTCACCATGCTGGGAGATCTGGGCGTAAGGTGGCCCAACAGGGGCTGGGGGGCCCGGGGGTCCAGGAGGCCCTGGTGGGCCTGGAAGTCCCCTCTCTCCAGGGATGCCTGTGGCTCCGGCCTGCCCAGGGCTCCCTGGTGGACCCTGTGGACCTGCAACGAGATTCCAAGACTCAGGGGTGTGCAGGAGGCAGGGAGAACTACAGCGACTTCAAGAAGGCAGGATAAGGTCGCCTGGGCCACCGGGCATGAGAGAGGAGTCTAGAGTCCACGGGCCAGGCCTGTCTATGAGGGCCATGAACACAGAATCCTGTCCTTTGTCCCATCTGTGACGGTCTGGGTGTCCTTTCTCAGGGGTCCCAGCCCACCATTTCCTCCCTTTGGTCTGGGAACTCCTGTTGGGCAAGCACTGGGCTAATACCTAACCCCAGTAGCCAGCTCAGAGCCCGCTGAACACAGCTGCCCAAGGAGCATGAGTAGAATGAACCAAGAGAGAGGGTTTTAGGGAGCCCAGGTGTGCGTGGGGCAATCCGCAGAGTGGACAGTAGAGAGCAAGGGGGTGAAGGAGGCCAGGACACCGGGCTCTGTCAGGGTTGGGGAAAGTCCATGTGGCTGGGCAGAGGGCCAAGGAGGTTGGAGGAATGGGCATCATTCTGGGCACTCACCTGGCAGGCCTCTCAGTCCTGCTGGGCCCTGGCTACCAGCATCTCCCTTGGGGCCGATGGGGCCAGGTAGCCCCCGAGTGCCCACTCGGTCTAGGGCAAAAGAACATGAGGTTGGCAGCTCTGGGCTTTCTTTGACCTGCACCCCAGCTCTGGCTCCTCAGCCAGCACTCACCGTCTCGAGGGAGCAGTGGGGCCCTCACAGGCTCTCTGGCTCCTGGCAGTCCTGGGTGAGGGGGTAGAAAGGGGTCAGTGTCCCTGCTGGGTCCGAGGGCAGGGAGACTCACGCAGCGTCCTCTCCTACAGCTCCACCCCGGCAGGGTCTGCTGGGCTAATTGGCCTCCCAGGACTCCAGGGCTCAGGAGGCCCTGAGATCATTCTCTCAGGTTTACTGAAGAGATGGGAAGACGGAGGTCTTGGAGGGACAGGCAGTTCCAGGCAGAATGGGGACCAGATTCTCACTGCCCTGATTCCCACGTGGGAGTGATTCCTACCTGATCCACTCACCTTGGAGGCCTCTATCTCCAGGGCTGCCCTGGGCAGCCGGAGAGCCCCAGAGTGGGGCAGGGTCTTCAGGGGCAGGTAGGGTTGGGGGCACTGCCTGCTCAGGGACAGTCAGCACAGCCACCTGTGGAGGAGGCGCAAGACAGGGATGGAATAGGCACCAGGGACTCATCCAAGACAGGCCAGCACTGTGGTCCTGGTGTGGGAGGTGGGAGGCCCATGATGCTCGCAGAGCTCACCTGGGAGTAGAGACCTGGGCTCACAGGGCCCAGAACTTCATCAGAAGTGACTGCGTCCCCCTCCCCAGCGGTGCTGGGGATTGAACCCAGGGCCTTGCACGTGCTAAGCAAGTACTCTATCACTTAGCTACTTCGCCAGCTCTGAGAAGTGACTGTTTTTCAAAGTGTGCAACTCACTGCCTGTCCTATAGAAAAGTCATTACAGACCATCACTGTCAGATGGCTGTTCTGTGATGTTGGTGTTTGCTGGCCACATAGGTTTTTTCTGTGCTCAGCCCATAAATAATACGATGTTTCTCTTGGTCAGTTAATGCTCCACAGGAATATGATTGGGAGGAATCTTGCTGATTTCTCTGTCTCTCCCTCCATGGGGGATTGAACCCAGGACCTCCTCTACTGCTGAGATTTTTACTGAATCTAAAGGAAATGAAATAGAGTATGGAACAATGGAGAGCAAAGTATACACAGATTATGTACATTGTATCTGTGTGTGTTTGAAAATGAAAGAAAAAGATGACCGCAAGGCGACAGCAAATGCCTGCAGTCCCAGCTACTTGTGAGGCTGAGGCAGGAGGATGGCTTAAACTCAGAAGTTACAAGCCCCAGAGCCAGACACGGTCTCAGGGGGGAAAATGGTGCGATCCGCCTCGCTGGGGGCTCGGGTGCCCGCTGTGAATTGGTTTCTGGAAGGTTTTCCACATCTCTGACTTTTTCAGGTTTCCACATTTAGAATCTTTGTGTAGTTACAGTTCACAATTCAAAAGGCATTTTTTAAAATCTTGAAATGATTTCAGATGTGTACTAGATTTGCTTTTGAAGCTGGAAGATGGTGCTATTATGGGGACAGGGGTGGGGCAGGCAAGGAGGGTTTCCAGCAACAGGCTCTGGGGAGTACGGGCTCATCCGGCTGGGCCCGGCCACAAGGAGGGAGAATCACCGTCTCCAGAGGATGAACAGGCCAGGCCGTCTGACTGAGGGGTCTTCTCAAGGATGGCACTGGAGGACGTGGCTGCCTAGGAAACTGCCAGTCGGGTCCACGAGGAGCCCCCAGGGCCGGGAGTGTGGCAGCCCAGAGCTACACTGGGGGAATCGGAACGGAGCCAGACATGGGGGTGCAGCAAGGGACAGGGGATGCTGGGGGCAGGGAACCAGGGGCAGCTTCTCACCCACCTTGGCCTCCAGCGCCTTCAGTCGCTCAGCCAGCTCTGTCACTTTGCTGCAGTTGAGACAGCCTGTGGGATGGAGGAACCTAGGTCCCTGGGTCCCCCCTAGAGCCCTGCAGCCCTGGGGGGAGGGAGGGAGGGAGCTGAGTGCAGGGCGGGGCTGCAGAAGCACCTCAGGCTCAGGGTGTGCAGTGCCGGGCAGGTTTTCTTCCCCCCCAAAGCCTCCGGAGAGGACTTTTCTCCCAGAGAAGAACCCAGCACCCCTGCACATCCAAAGTGACCCCTCTCCCAGAAGCCACAGCAGGAAATCCTGTTTTCTGTTGGGTGGGGACTGGGGCCTGGGCCCGCATGCTCTGGGGACCAGTCCCGGTGGGACCAATCTCTGAGGGGCCACCCCTGGATCCTCTCACACAAGAACAGCCCAGCTCTTCTGGCTAACTTAAATATCTATGTCAGTTCGGGCCAGGTGAGGAGTCTAGAAGCGGGGACGCACTGGTCTTCACTCCAGCTTCATGGGTGAGGGCAGCATCACCCTGTTCGTGCCTGAGGAGCCTGGGCTCACTAGAAATGTACGGCGAGCATCTCTGGAACACACAAGTGCCAGCCTCGGTGCTGCCCCTCCTGGCTCAAGTCCTGGGGCAGGCAGGGCAGGCTAGAGCAGGGCAGGGCGTTCTCCTCTCTGACCTCGGTTCCTTTTCTCTGAAATGGGGTCAACCAGGCCTGGGCCGTGTGTGGGTAACAGCTGTGAAGTTTAACGAACTGGTGATGGAAAGCGCCTGGCTGGGGCCTCACACAGGGCAGACGCTCCGAAAAGCAGACTTTATATAAAAAGACAAAATTCGGGCTTGGACCTGCATCTGCGGGAGATCAGGGGTCATGGGTCTTGCGGTGTCTGGGGCCAGATCGGACTCCCTTCTGGTCCTTCCTTTCTCTGGCTTGAAGCTCCTTTCAGTCTGGGTCGAGAGTGCAGGGCGCTGTCCAGCTGGATTTTAGACTTACTGCCCGGAGTCCCTCCAGGTCGACCCATCCCAGGAAGTCAACAGGAAACCACCAGCACCTACCTGAGAAGGCTGCGGGCCGAAGCACCATCCGCCGCACGGTGTTGCCCGACCACATGGGCTCCACAAAGCCAGAGGAACCTGCAACTGAGGGATGGAGGGTGAGAATCCTGCTGGCCCGTGCCGTCCTTGCCTGGTCACATACACCTGCCCACGGATGCACAGGGGCAGAAGAGGTCCAGGGAGGTGGAGCAGTGGATCTGGGTCACACAGCATGAAATGGCACCTGATGGGCTGGTGAGAGCAACTGCCACAGAGCGGGACTCTGGATGAATGAAGCTGGGGGCTTCCCCGGTGACCCCAGCCGGCTACACGGGTTAAGAGGTTAGAATTAACAGCAGGCTTCTGTCGCGGTGCTAACACTTACTGACCCATGTGTCTCTTGGAATTTGACAATTTTCTCATCTTTATAGTGGGACATTGAGGCCTCTGTCTGGCCCTCCCAGGCTGGTGTGAGGCCCAAAAGATGGAGATGTGTACAAAGGGCCCACTGCACATACACAGGGCCCGGCACATAATAGGTGCTCAATACATGGGGCTACGATTGTTGCCTTCCTTACTTTCCCTGCCCCACTTGGTAAGAAGGGACTGAAGTGGCTACAGCTCTGGTTCTAAATGAAAACCAGAGGGAGGCTGGCTGCCTGTTCCTAGAGCCCACTCCCCCACGCCCCAGGAGGAGCAGCCTGTCCTGGCAGGTCTGGCTTTGGGGGTCTGGATTTCGGCACAGCTGCAGGGACGAGCTGGCCAAGCCAATGGCAGGGACACAGCTGGAGGGGCTCTCCAGCCAGCAGGGGCAGCACTCTCCGCTGCCCCCCAGGCCTGCCTTTTAAGGTCATGAAGCGTCGTCTGTGGGGGGGTGTGGGGAGACAAGACCCAAATAAGGCACGGGCCTGGCAGCTTGGGCTGTGGGTTGAGGCAGGGAGCACGAGGCGCCAGGAACTCAAACCAGACGGGTCCCTCTGGCCGGCCCCGAGTGGGGAGGCTGCCAGGCCCTGCTCCGGTCCTACCATGGGCCCTTGCTCAGGCTTAGCTGTAACCCTGGCACATGGTCCTCAGGGGCCTCTGACTTGCCCAGGCACAGAGGGCAAACCCCTCCAGGATGGAGGAAGGTGGGTTTCCCACCAGGACTGGGGCAGGGAAGGGGAGACGCCACTGTGAGCCATGCCCCTTGCTAAGGGCTTACAGAGCCCAGCTGGGTGCTACAAGGTTGGTTATAACAATAGCTAAGCTGTGCTTAACACCTACACTCCGAGCAGTGCCTGCACTTTCTAAGAACTTACTATAGTCTATTTTATTGATTGATTACACTACAGTCGATCTCAACAGATAGGAAACTGTGGCACAAAGCATCTCAGGACCACCTCTCCTGTCTCCCAGGCGCAGACAAATGAATGAGTCAATGAGACTTTTCTTCCCCCATCAGGAAACCAAAGAAGAGAGATGAAGTGACTCATTTAGTCACAGCCCTGAAGTTCTCCAGGCTGTATCTGAACCTAGGCAGGTCTATTCTAGGGCTTGATCTCTTTTATGGGGGTGGGGGGCTGGCCCCGTGTCCAGCAGGACTGCTGGTGCCTGAGAGAAATGGCCGTGCAAGCCCTCTTCACCTTTTTGCTCCTCATTGACTAAATGATAATTTTACTATGGTTTGAGGGTGGTGACCCAAAGCAGCGGTTGTGACTCCAGCCCTGTGTAAATAAGGTTTTCTCTGTGATGAAGTACTGGCTTCTTCCTGCCCTTCCTGCTATACTTCTGTTGCCTTCCTTTTTTTCTCATAGTTTTGTTTATGCAACACTGGGGATCGAACTCAGGGCCTCACACATCTAGGCAAGTGCTCTACTACTGAGCTACCAGTCTATCCCAACCTGAATGCAGACATGCATTTCTACTAGATCCGAGGTACCAGGGATCGAACTCAGGACCTTGCACTTGCAAGGCAGGCATGGTGCCACTGCGCTAAATCTCCAGCCCTGTTTGTCTGTTTTTTAAATAGCACTTTCCTCCCTCTGACATGGTACTGACTGGTACAGTTTCTCAGCTGACTGCCTCTTCTTTTGCCCCTGAGTGGAACACCAACCTCACCAGGACAGAGACCTTGTCTGTCTTGTGTAATCTCAAGGGCTACAGTAAAGTTCCATTTATGAACACACGACTCATAGGCTGAAAATAGATTTTGAGCAAGCAAAAGAAATAAAAGGCAAAATAATGTAGGAGGCAGACCACAAACACCTTGAAAAGGAGCATAAATGTTCCAAAGTCACATGAGGGTGCCCCTGAGTTGTTAATCGGTGGACTTGTGGTTGGAAATTCTTTTTCAACCAATTTGGTTTTGGATATTTCACCAGGAGCCAGAAAGAACTTAGAAAAATGAGCAGAAACACAGCCAAGCCAGCTGTACAGACAGAAGGGGCTCAAAGTGATTGTGAATTTCAATTATAGAAAGAGAGTTTAGGGCTGGAAGTGTAGCTCAATGGTAGAGGGCTTGCCTAGCATGCAAAAGTCCTTGGGTTCAACCCTAACACGACCAAGAAAAGAAAAGAGAGTTTAAAGAAATAACAGAACTGACCAAAAGACCAGGGAAATGTTGATTCTGGATTCAAGATTCACAAAAAATTATCCCAAACTTCCCCAAAATTCTGGTAAGTGGATAGAAATACTTTGAGAGATGAACCTGGTTATAAATGGACCCTTTAAAGCCAGGCATGGCAGCGCACGCCTGTAATCTCAGCACTCAGGAGGCTGAGGCAGGAGGATCACTGCAAGTTCGAGGCCAGCCTGGGCTACACAGTGAGTTCAGGGCCAGGCTGAACTATAAAGTGAGACCCTGTCACGAACAAACAAACCAATGGACCCGTTATAAGGCACACAAAAACCCCAGCAAGGAAGAAGCTGTGAGTTGGGGGTGGCCTTCTACAGAGCAAACATGTCCCATCCCTCCTGCTTCTGCCTGGCCAGGGGCCCTAAGCAGATTGCACTGGGCAGAGAGGCCCCTCACCGGAGCCTAGTGGTCACCCCTGAAGGGCACCTCTCCTGCCCTGTCTTGCTGTCCCAGGAGGGCCGAGGCTGGTCCCAGGACACAGACCTAAGCTCTATTCCAGGGAACAACCACCCTACACACGAGCACACTATACCCTCCCCCACCCCTGTAGCTGTGGCTCCCTTGTCCTCTCCTCTAGGAAGCCTTCCTGGACAGACCTGGGTACCTACCAGTACCAAAGGCCCCCTTGACACCTTCACTACTCTGTCCTGACCTTCAAAAGGCCAGTGGCCTGTGTAGTTTCTAGTTCTGTGCCTCCTAAAACAGCCCGTTTTTTCTTCCCAGTACCAAGTCTATGTCTCTCCCTTTGGATTTCCATGGTGCCTCATGGCACAGAGAACATTAAGAGCCAGGCAAGGTAGAATACTCCTGTAACCCCAGCTCTCTGTTGTAAGGCTGAGGCAGGAGGGTCACAAGTTTGAACCCAGACTGGGCAACTTTTTGAGATCCTGTCTCAAAATAAAAAGAAAACCTGGAGATGCAGCTCAGCATGAAAGATCTAGGTTCAGTCACCAGTACCACAAAACAAAACAAAAAACAATGAAGCCCCGGAACTGGCAGGCTTGCTCTGTCTACACAGCAGGATGTGGGGGACTGGATTCCAAGCCTGCTCTAAATTAGGAATGGAGCTGTGAGAAGTTTGAGTCCTTGTCCTTCACCCCTGTGTCTCCCTCCATGAGAGAATCCAAGAGAAGGTCCTTCATTGACATCCCTCCCTCCACCCCTGGTCAGCACGATTCGGTGACCACAGGCCACAGTGATGCAGCTGCCCCAGCCCCAGCCCAGGTCTCCTGTGGGAATTTGCTTTGCAAATGTAAATATTTGCTGCTGGCCAGCTGGTGACTTGATCGAGGGTCAGAGCTACCTTGAAAAGAAACCTTACTGGGAGGCCTCTGGGAAGCTCTGGTCTTGTCTGGCCTGGCCCTTCTGTGCAGTTTCCATTCAAATCTGTGCCCTTTTCCTTATCCCAGGCTGTGGCGGGCACTGGAGCCGCAGGAGTAATACAGGCAGAGACGCATCAAGAAAGAGACAGGCAGAGGGGACGACCGACTGCCAAGGCACGGGTGGGCAGAGGGGAAGAGGGAGCGAAGGTGGAGCTGGGGGGGACGGAGAGCAGGAGGGCAGTCATCCGCGCTGGGTGGGGCGGTGGGGGAGCGCAGAGGCTCCCACAGAGGAGCAGGAGGGGACTGGTGGGCCGGCTCGGTGGAGTCTGCAGGACCCCGCATCTGCGAAGGGCAGGCCGGGCTCCTGCCTGCTGCCTGAAAGTGTGGGAGGCCCCGGCCTTGGCGGTGGGAGAGGCTGGGCGCCTGCAAGTACTGGCTGGAATCTCCCGCGAGTCTGCTGAGGCTTCGGGCTGTGTGGGCTCAGGCCAACATCCCCACTGTGGTTCCCCACCCGGGAGCACAGGGCTGTGAGGGTCCGAGGGTGGGAAAGGGACTCAAGCTAGGCAGCCGGGCTCCGTGAGAAGAGGGTGAGCCCTGGCGCCACTCTTTCCACGGGGGGCGCGGGGGCTGAGACCGGCCGGCACACTTCCCGGGGTGTTTTCAGACAGCCCAAGCAGAAGAAAGACTCCTGACTCGTCAGTCAGGGCGACCTGCTTGAATCCAGCTCCTCAGCTCACTGCTCTCACCCTGAGCACAGCTTTTTCCTCTCTGAGCCTCACTGTCCGCATCTGAATATTCTGTGCCACGATGCACCGGCCTTAGGCAGGCGGGTGAGTGCTGTACAGCCCGGTACAGAGCGTGGTGGCGGCTTTCCCTGTCCTTGTCATTACTACGAGGGGAGGGTCTGGGGCAGGGGTACCACAGGCCTCGGGTGAGAGCTCCGGAGAGAACCTGGCCGGAACACTTCTGCGCTGTGTGATTGAGACCAGCACCTGTCTGCCTTTATCATCTGGTCAGTGGGGCAGATGGGCAAAAGATCTGTCTGCACAGAGCCCCAAGAAGCAGGGGACCGCAGGGGTGGTCGAGCCAGCCCGCCCCTTTGCACAGCCCACCAGCCCAGGGCACTTAGGACTTGGGTCCAGGCCTAGAGATGATTGCTGGGCTCGGTCTGCCTTCCTGCCATGGCCTTGGCACTGTTCCAGCCCCCTGCCTGCCCCTCCTACGGGGCACATTCTAGACTTGGCCCCTTCTCATCCACTGTTTCTGATGAGATCCACTGTTTCCACGAGCAGGTGGCTAGGTGAGAGCCTTAGCCAGTTCCCTCCCAGACAACAGCTCTCTTCCTAAGGGTCTCAGTTCTGGGCTCTGATGTGCTGAGTGACCCCAGGCCAGTTCCCTTACTGCTCCAAGCCTCAGTTTCCCCTAATGTATCCTGGGGTCCACCGTGGCTCTGTCCTCTAGGTGGTCATGAACATCCACTGAGGCTGTTCCCCCTCACTGCCACAGAGTGAACACCCCCATTTCACAGATAAGAAAACCAGGGCGGAGAGTGGTGAGGTCCTGACTGGATTACACCAGCCTCACGACTATGAAGTCTGGAGGCTCAAGGTTTGTTTGCTGAGCAGCTAAAGGAGGAGCAGATCTCAGAGTTGGGAGGCAGGGCTGTGTCTACTGGGTCAGCAGAATCCCCAGCACAGGGGCGGAAGGGAAGAGGAAGACATTTATGGAGGATTTACTACGTCCCAGTCATGACGGCTCACTTCTGACTCCCAGGTAACTGGCAAAGCCAAGGTGAGCATAGAAATGAGCCACTCCAAGTCACACAACGCAGTAACTAACTGATGCAGGGCTAGTTTTGGAATGACAGGTGTTCTCTTATTTGTGGTTCACTCCATGCTGGTCTGGGCAGTCATTCCTGGCGATGCAGCTCCGTGGACCCGAGGTCAGGTCACAGCAATGAGCAGGCCATAAGGGCAAGCACCAGTAGGGGAAAGGGTGGGGGAGCCAGCCTGAGCCCAGCTGTGAGGAAGGGCAAAGCCTCCCAACTCCCCAGTGCAGGCCTCAGTGGGTCAATTTTCTAGAACATCCGGGTCTGGACATCTGGTCACCTTCTCCCTTTCCTTTGTGTCAACCCTGTGGGTAGGAGAAGCTCTTCCCATCCCATCGGCCATCACGCAGTGTTCACTCACCATGGGCTGCTGTGGCATCTGTGAAGTCTTTACTGCATTATCTCATTCCAGCAGCAGCACTGAGAACCACTCTATATTACACGCCCACTTCACAGGGTGAGGGCCAGAGAGCCCGAAGCTGTCACAGTACAACTTGGTGCCCTCCCTCCCGGGCGCAGGAGGAGAATCCTGCCTGGACTGAGGGCCCTTGCACCGTGACTCGCACAGTGCACGGGGAGTCCCGGGCCCAAGGCCCCACAGCTGCTGTGTGGCAGAGCCGGCCTGACCCCCTGAAGTCCCGTCTACCCTAGTCCTCGGGCTGAGGCTCAAGGGCCTGCAGAGGGAGCCACCAGGCCTCACCTCAGCGTTGGCCTGGCCCAGCACAACCCCTGCCTCACAGGCTCCCAGCCCAGGCCCTGGACACACGGGTTTCAGCAGCCGTGTTCAACGTCTGCCCTTGGGAGGGGAACCAGGGACACAGGACTCTCCGGCTGGGCCCCGCATCGGGGGGTTCACCATGGACCTCCGTGGCCTCCTTGGCGGCCACTTCTCCTAGCTGGCTGTCCTCTTGCCCCTTTAGCCCTTCTGCTTTCCTCGCCACCGCTGAGCAGAGGGTGCTGTTCGGGGCCCCCGGCTTCCCACAGTGGGGCATGGCCGCCTCCCTGCTGGCCTGTCTGGCGCCAGGACCCTCAGCTTCCAGCCACCCAGTTCCTCCTCGGCTCCATGGGAGACTCCTCCCCTACGTCAGAGCCTGCCAGAGCCCTCCCTTCCCCACGCCTTGGTGAATCCTGCCTCTGCCCGATCCCGATCCCCGTGTCACTCTGGGAACTGGGCCATAGTAACTCTCTCTCCCAAATCACCCACGAGCAGCGCCCTCTGCTAGCACCACACTTCCTGGACTCAGAGGCTGCATTTTTTCACATCCGTGCTTCTGCAATCAGGATACATCCTATTAGTGACAGTCGATTCCGTGCTGCCTGGGGCCCTGAAAGCCTCTACTCAGGAGGTGATGGGCCAGGTTCTCAGGTTGGCTCCAGGTCAGCTCACCCCCTTCACAAGACCATGCTCGTGAACTCAGCTCCTGATGCCGCCGGATCTGTTGCTTATGGGATCAGCTGGGCAGTGAGGGTCACAGTACACAGGTGCACAGGTCGGGGGGTGCCCCTGCACCTGGGCCACACTCTACACAGAGTGCACAGCTCAGTCCACCCTGAAGCAAACAGGTCTTGAATCCTGACACTGCCACATAGAAGCTGTGTGTCCATCACCTGCAGGGTGGGTACCAGCATCCCTACCTCTCTGACCACTGAACTGACTCACGTAGCCCTCTGCTTTCACGTGGTATGTTACCGTGCCCCGTGGAAATGTCCACTAGGTTCCCCCAGATGCTAGTGCTTGAGTCTGTGATGCCCCCCAAAGACTCAGGTGTTGATAAAGGTTTGTTCCCCAGGGTGGTGCTACTGGCACACAGTAGTACCTTTAAAAGGTGGGGCCTCATGGGAGGTCTTTAGGTCACTGGGGATGTTTCCACCCCCAAAGGGATAGGGAACTCCAGCTTACTGCTGTTTTTCTTTTTTTTGAGTCCTGACCACGAAGTCTTTTCCTTGTAAGATGTGGTACCTCACCATAGTTCCAAACCTACATAGCCAAACAATTAGGGGCCAGAAGTTCCAAAATAAACCTTTTAGCTGTGCTAAGTGTTTTAGCTCAGGTATTTTTTTATAGTGATGGGTGACTGACTAACACACCAAATTTCACAGAAAGACCTGGGACGGCGCGACTTAAAAAGTGAGCAGCACAACAAGTAGAAAATACTTCCTGAGGCCCTGAGAGTCTCTGAGAAGCAAATGGAAACCACGAGGGAACAGCAGGTGCTGTCTGTATCTGAGCCATGCCATGCCTGTCAGGCCTGTGCAGTGGGCTCCTGCGTGCAGTCCTGTGCAGGAGCTGCACAGCAGGACTTAGCAGCAGGTACCTATTCCTGTGCACTCCTGGGAAGCACGTGTCCCTGTTAAAAGGATGCATGCGACAACCAAACAGTCCTACCTTCCTCGCAGCTTACTCCCGAGTGCCCAGGGCAGCACCTCCACTCGCGGGCGGTCACTGTCTTGTACATCACCTTGTATGTGGGTCTCACCACAGTTCTGTAGCTGAAAAAGTGTCCCATGGCCCAGTTCAGACAGGGTCTTCGATCACCTTCCTTACTGCCCTGGATGCCTATGGGGACAAACCCAGACAGAGCCCCTGGAGCCTCTGCCACTCCAAGCCCCCCTGGGATCTCTTTCTCCCTGCAGTCTGGGGTTTCAGCCAATGGGATCGGAAACCAACTAGACAGAAAGGCCCTGCAGGCAGGGCTGACTGGTGCCTGACAGTGATACTCACCAAGTGAAGGAAAACAGGTGCATGGTGCTATACGGAAGAGCATTCCTCCCTTCCTCCCTCAGGAAGCCCTTGGGGTTCCCTCTTGATACAATGCTGCCTTTGCTGCAGCCTCTCCTGGGGCCCTAGCCTTCATCTGTAACCCTACACAATTCTGCACCAGGAAAGCCACGTGGTCCTTCTCCACCGTGGCTCACTTACCTGCTTCCTGGGCAGCTCATGGGCCAGGGGCAGTTCTGCAGCACTCGCTGAAGGTAAGTTCCGTTTTGCACATGGCATGAGACAGTACGGGTCACCACATACGAGCACCAGTTTCTGAAACAGACCCAAACAGAGGAGGTTCAGGTGTTAGGTGCAGCCCCTTCCCAGGCCTCTGGGCAGATAGGTGAGATGATCTGTGTCCTCTCCAAGAGCCCCAAGTCCCCAGTTGGAGAGACCCTTGGACTTTCAGTGTCCTTTGGGTCCCTTCTGGTGGAATCTGAACAGCCGGTGGCTTAGGGGTGGATTCTACGGCCCTAATGAGGGTGGTCCCTCTGGGGGCTCTCAGTAGGCCTTGGGGAATGAATTACAGGGCAAGGTGTGGGCAGTACATCTTCATCAGGGCTGTCCATGTCATACCTCTTCCTTCCAACCTTGTCCATGTTGGCCACCATTATCTCCTGCCCCACAAACTTGGGACCTTGCACTTGCGAGGCAGGCAGCGGAACCACTGAGCTAAATCCCCAGCCCCAGAAATGTATCTTTGAAACTTACAAAAATCTCAACTACTCAGTAAGAGATCATGTCCAGCCTGGGGCTAAGAGGGTTCCAGCTCAGGTTTCAGATGGGCCTGTGTTGAGCATCTAATGGTGGACGTTCTGGGCAAGGTTCCAGATGTGAAAGCCTCAGTCTTCTCATCTGGAAAATCACACTCATAAGAGAGTGGGAAAATTCAAATCAGCCAGCATGTGGAAGGCCTGGGCACAGCTCCTGGTATGCAGCAAGTGTGAAAAATGGAGTCTGCTGTAGTGCCAGGAATGGACAGAACAGAGGGACCGACAGCTCTCCTTGACCCCAGAGGTGACGGTTTGATGAGAATGTAATTTTTCCCTGTAAGTATAGTCGTTTGCTTCTGTTTCCTATCTCTGCTTCTTCCCTCCCTCCCACCCTCTCATTCTAATAGAAATGCAACTGCTCTGTAACTCTTGGTCTAGGCTCTCCCCTTAACCACATGTGACAGCTGGCTCTCAGCTCAGCACCTAGAAACACTGGGTTCTGTCACAGCATCTGGCTTTGTGCCTGGTGGTCCCATAGCTGTTGGGTTATTCCCAGTTTTGAGCTATTCCCAGAAGTGCGACGGTAAAGCATCTGTCACCTGGGCCGTGGCTGGCTGGCTAAGGACTCTGCTGACCTCCTGCATGGGCCAAACTGAACTGTCCCTTCTGTCACTTTTACTCCCACCCTGGCCTTCGCCCGGGCTTTTCTTCCTCCTAGACTGATTCCAGTGTGACCCAGAGAGATGGAGGGACTTCCCTAGGGTCCCACAGCCTGAGCAGACTAAATTCTGGTTCTGGCCGAGGACTTTCTCTTTCTGTAGGCCAGGGTGGGGTGGGCGGCAGCTGGAGTGTTGCGCTGCAGTGGGACTGGGAGTCTCTTCAATAGCTGGCACATTCCAGGTGCTCAGCAGCCCTCAGCCCTGCACGGGGTCACAGGCCCTGTGTTCTTGGCCCGGGCCAGGGAGGGAGGGATGGATGGTTTCCGGTGACCTTTCTCAGCCTAGGCTCCCCCACACCACCACGCTTTCCTTCATGACCTTGAGCCCAGGGTCAGCAGGTTCCCAGGCTGCGACCCTCACAGCATCACAGACCATGGCTTGCTGAGATGGGAAGGACATGGGAACTGAGGCCTCTGGGAAGGTGTCAGAGGCCAGGCTGGCCTATCCACATTTCTGGGCTCTAATCCAGCTCACTTCCGGAACCTTAGCGTCCTCTAAACCGTGGGGGAGGGCCTTTCCGGCTCACCACGGCAGAATGATGTGAGTACTCTTAGCATCCAGCAGGTGCTCACTATGTGTACTGCAACAAGGTTTTAGTTGGCATTTGGAGGCGTCAGTCCTTCAGGCTAGCACGCTGATTATGCAGCCTGTCGGCACCCAGAGGAACTCGAGGATAAAGGAAACGGGGCCTGTGCTTTTCACACACCAGTAGAGGGGGCCAGGCATGGGTTACCGCTTTATTCTGCATGGCAGGTGTTCAAGAAGCTGCAGGACCCAGGATGGGGAACCACTGGATCCGCTCAGGATGGGGTGGACATGGAAAGGGACAGAGGAAAGAGGTGACGGCACAGTGGGCCCTGCAGGTAAGAGAGGGCACATAGAGAACGGCAGAGGGATGAGGACAAGCAACGTCTGGAAGGGAGGGACCCGTCACAGGGGTGGGTGCAGCAGACCTGAGGGGTGGGCACAGGGGCTGTGGGGGAGCACGGAGGGGCAGGGACAGGCTTACGTTTTATGACACAATAGTCAGTGTGATGTCGTGCACCTGTAGTTCCTGCTGCTAAAGAAGCCGAGGCAGAAGCTTGTTAAAACCTGGAAGTTCAAGGCTTACTGGGCAACACAGTAAGACCTCAACTCTGACAAGAGCAGCAGAAGACTCCTGTCCTGTAGTGCCTTGGGTTCCCGGAATGATGATTTGGAATCTGCTGGAGTTTTGTTTGGAGGGTCGGGCACAAGCAACTTTTGGGAAATTGATGTGAATCGTGGCTCTTCCCCTCAAAATGCTTAAGACCTAGTGTACAAGTTCAGGGGGTTCAGAAGTACCCTGCAGCCAGAGTGAAGTCTTCAAACCAATCCAGTTCTCCTTGAGTCAAGGAAAGGGGAAGGGAGGGAGCAACTTGGGCTGCGGAAAGCTGGGAGCTCCTCATACAGAGCGGGGTCCTGGGCACGGAAGGACACTCCCTGATCAGTGCGCAGAAGCACACACATACAGAAGCAAGTGAAGACATGTACACACGTGTGCACACGCACGAGTCCAGAGAAGCACGTATACCCGTACGCCCGGATAAGGCAAGGCGGCAGGGCAGGTAGACACAACCTTCCTTCCTGTGAATGTGTCTCCATGTGAGCACACTCACACTCACACACACAAGTGTGGCCACAGGACGTTCGCGGTCGTATCCTCTACGCCGTCCACACAAGCACGCTCGGGGCGATGCACCCTCATCCCTGTACACACGTGCACACACACAACAGCAGCAGAGATGGGCCAAGCAGAACAGAGCGCTGAATGCTCCCCTCACAGGTATTCACACCCACACACCCACCCTGCTCAGACCCTGGACTAGGACAGGAAGGCCTGTAACCGTCCACAATTCCCCCAGCTGTCTTTTTATTGGAGAGGCGGGTGTCAAGGAAATGATTATTTTCTTCCTTTTTCATTAAAATCTCCCCTTCGAAGGTGCCAGCCTGGTCCTTTGGTTTATTTCCTACAAGCACGACTTTGCTGGAAACCCCTGCTCAGGGGAGACACAGAGCTGCTGGCCGGCTGGCCAGACCTTCTAAGCAGGCACAGACACTGAGGCCAAGCGGGGCTCTAGGTCAGCCAGCCGGTCCCTTCACCTGGAGGCGATCAGTTACCACTCCCATGACAGCTTTGAGGACACATCCTGTTGCCTCCCAGAATAAGCCCAAGCTCCACCACAGGGTCCCACCCCTGCATCCACATTCCACGGGTAGCAGGAAGCTTTGTGTAAAGCATGGCCTAACACTGCCTGTGCCCGCCGTGGAATGCGAAGTCCACCGTGGCTCTCCGCCGCACTGCAAACCCTGCCTCCTCCCTACCTCATCCGACGTGCAGCTCACATCTGCCCCACCCTCATCTTTGCAATCGGGGACCCCCTGGCCCCCTGGCCCGGCAGACTCCTCTTTATGCTTTGGGTACCAATTCTGAGGCCCAGGTGGGATTGGTTTTGCGGGACTGGATTGAGCTTTACAGGTTCTGAAGGGAGGACCTGTGCAGAGACCAAGTGAGGTTAGAGATCAGCTCACAGGAGCTCCGGGATGTTTGCCGAGTGACTGAATGAGAGAAAACAGTGGCCCTGGGCAGCCGAAGTAGAGCCTTGCGGTCCTAGAAACAGATGCGGTACTTGGACACTCTGCCTCCATCCCCGCTGCCCCTGGGCCTCCTTCCTGGGGCGTGAGCAGCAATAAGTCGCAAGGGCAGGGGCCGGGAGAGACTGCTCACGCCTCCTGGTCCTCACTTCTGCCCACTCGGCACCTCCTGGGCCTCCAGAGGACTCCGGGAGAAGAGAAAACAGGACAGACCAGCTCAGCCTGGCACTGGTCTCCCCCATGTCCTCACCTCCCCCCAACACCAGCCCTCCGCTCTCTGTCTCCACTGGGCCCGGGCTGTGATCCGGAACAGTGATAGGGGCTAATTGCAGGAGGCGGCCAAGCCGGCCTGGAGCCAAGGGCCCTTATGAAAAGGAGGGGAGAGAACAGAGCCAGGCGGGAGGGGTGGGGTGACAAGAGCCAGAACCCCGCAGTGGGGGTGCAGCTCCGGTCCTGGCTCTGCTGCTGCCCAAACTGGTGGCCTGGACAAGGCCCCGACCCTCTCTGCCCTCGCTCTGTCCATCTGCAAGCGGGGAGAGCAGGAGAATCCCTTCCGGAGAGGAGCTCCATGCGGAGTGCCTGCTTGGCACGGTCCTTGGTGCCATGGTTCATTCTTGATCCTGGGCTGCAAGGCCACAGTCAGACACGGGCCTAGCTGGGGGCTGTGACCCAGGAGCCTCCCTTCGGCTTGAGGACACGGGCACGGTCCCTTCTTCACAAGGGCAGACTGTCAGGCTCTGCGTTTACAGAGCGGGAGACTGAGGCTCCAAGAGAAGGCACCTGCCTGGTTGCCCGTGTGGCACAGAGCCAGGATCCAAGCCATGGAGAAGGGCTGGGCACATCGGAGCTTTTTACTCCTCCCCACCCTTGGATTTGCCCAACGGAAGTCAGAACCGCAAGGGTTAGGGGCCTTGGCCAGGTCACCAGTGATGATGATGATTACTTCAACTCTAGAGCCACTGTGCAGAGATGAGCGGATTGAAAAAAAAGGAGATTCAGGCTGAGAAAGACGTCAGAGGGCCAGGAGCAGTCCCATCAGGGATCGGTGCTTTGGAGGGGGCAACAATGAGCCAAGGCAGCTCTAGATAGTCAGGGGAACCCTGATTGGGGGGAATCTGTCTCACCACATTCCTGCGGCTGGGGGAGGCCCTTTGGATGCCTTCCCAGGCCTCCCCCTCCCCAGGGACAAAGCCCTTTTCTGCCTTTGGTCCCTTGGCTGCCAAGGGGTGCCTGGGGCACCTGGCTCGGGGTGGAGGGAGGGCTGATGGGGCGTGACATCCCCATGCTGTCTCCAGTGATGCTGGGACAGGGCCACAAGGGGAGGCCCTGGCAGCCAAGGAGTAGGCGCCTCTGGATCCAGGTCCCTTCCCCCACCGAAAGCTGGTGACAGCAGGCGTTCTGTGTAACAGGTTCCATGCTGGTTCCTCAGGGGACTGCACACTCTCAGAAAAGAGTCCCCAAGCAGGGATGAGAAAAACAAAGAGGGAAAATGAGACCCATAGCCACAAAGTGACCTGCTTGAGGCTGCACAGTGAGTGAGTGACAGAGCCAGGAATAAAACCTTGTTGTGTCCAAAGCCAGAGCCCTAAACTCCCAATTATGACCTCCAAACCTCCTGAGACGCCCAAGCTTAGACAACCTCTTTCCCTAACACAGAGGACTGTTGGGAAGGAAGAGAGGCTGGATTTGCAAACTTCTTGGCCTGGGACCATGCCACCTTTTTCCTCTCTAGGCCTCTGTCCCCTTATCTATAAAACAGGAGGAAGGACATTGCCAACCTAGCTCGGGTGACACTCAGGCCACTGTGATAACCTCTGTAAACAGATGGGAGGGCAGTCCCCAGTGACTACTAGATACCTGCCCACACTTATAGTCCTGTTCCTACCTAGGGAAACCTGGGTGAGATGAGCCCAGCCTCTGACTGGCTAAGGGGAGGCTCTCTTCTGC